GTGGAAAACATTTCGTGGTTCCTCAAAAAGTTAAACATAGAGTTTCCACGTGATCCAGTAATTCTATTTCTTATTATGTATCATCAAGAACAATTCAAATAATGAATTCAAATAATTGTATGCCAATGTCCATAGCAACCTCATACACACATGTCAAGAGGGTAAGCCAAGTATTCACCAATAATTAAAAGCAAACAAATTATGCATATATAACAATATTATTCAGTCTTTAACAGGAAGGGAATTTTGACCTAAGGAAATAAACTATTATACAACATAGATGAACATTCCAGATATTATGCTAAGTGAAAGAAGACAGGCAAAAGGACAAATATTGTATGATTCCACTTACGAGTTACCTATAGTAAGTGAATTCACAGAAACAGAAAGTAGAAAAGAGAATGCCTGTGAGATGGCTCAGTGAGTAAAGGTGCCTGCCACACAGGCCTGATGACCTGAGTTCTATCCCTGTAAATCACATAAATGTGGAAGGAGAGAACCGACTCTAAAGCTGTCCTCCACTTTAATACACATACACAAACACACAATAGTAAAAACAATGAAGAATGTATTAGTAATTTTTTGTGACTGACAGCAACAATTTAAAGGAAGAAGAATTTATTTTGGCTCGTGGTTTCAAAGGGTTTAATCATGATGGGGAGAGCAGACAGAGCAGCTCATGCCACAGTCAGTCAAGCTGCAGAGACACGGAAATGTCAGCACTCTGCTGGCTTTCTCTTTTATTTAGTCCACACAGAGGAATAATGCCAATGACATCCAGGTCATTGCACCTTTCAGCTAATTCTTTCTGGAAATGCCCTCACAGACACAAAAAGGCATGCCTCACTAGTCTCAGTGATTCTAAATCTAGTCAAGATGACAATGGTTAGCCATCACAGAGGATGGAGACTTGATTCACTGGATATCAAAACACACAAAGCTAGAGCAATTTAGATATTAAGGTATGGGCATAAAGACAGACCAATGGAATACAATAAAAGGAACAGACAGATGTAGGTGTGTGTATGTATGCATGAATCCTTTATTCTAGTTTCTTTTTTTAGTACTGGGGATTGAACTCAAGGTCTTGCTTATGTTAGGTAAGTACTCTACCACTAAGTTACATTCTCAGACCCTGGCAACGTCATTTCTAAAAAAGACAGACTACCAGAGCAATGTGTTTTATTTAAAGAAAAGAAATTGGGCCAGGTATGACAGCACACATCTTTAATCCAAGCAGAGGCAGGCTGATCTCTGTGAGTTCTAGGCCAGCCAGGGCTACATAGTGAGACCCTATTTTAAAAAAAAAAAGAAAAGAAAAAGAAATCATGCCCAAATAACTGTATATTACATCAAGTAACTAAAGTTGAATTTGATCTCACACTATACAAAAACCAGATTCCCACTGTTAGAATCTGAAATGCTCCCCACAGGCTTGAGTTTTGAATGCCGGTTCACCAACTAGTGGCACTACTTTGAGAGGCACGGAACCTTTAGAAGTAGGCTGTTAGGTGAGAGTCACTTGGTGGTAGATTACCCCAGCAACTGCCAGTGGTTTTCTGTTTCAGCCACCAAGAACTGAGCTGCTGTGTCACATACTCCTCACCACAACGAACTGAAGCGCTTGGAAGCTGTGAGCAAAGTAAATCTTTCCTCCTATAAGTTGTTTCTGTCAGGCATTGTGGTCACAGCAGCACAAAAGTAATTACTACAACACTGAACAAGAAGGGATGAGGAGGAGAGGGAAGAGAATAAATACAGCCTCAAGGAACTGTGAGTCTCTATCAGTTATACCATCATAGAAACAATGGGAGACCCAAAAGGAGGGAATAAGCTATGGGGAGGAAGTGAAGAAGAGGATAGGGGAGGGAGAGAGACAGGGTAAGAAATGTTCGAAGAATGTTAGAACAATGAAAACTTCCAAAATGTGAAGCAAAACAATATTTACACATCTAAGTGCAAATGCACTCCACATAGTATAAACTTAAAAAAAAAACAGTACTTAAATATATTCTACTTAAAAGAATGAAAACTAATTTAAATTATGTTGAAATCAGAATTAAAGAAACAATTTGTCTTGTCAAAAGG